GGGAGCGGTGGATTCCTCGGCACGTTGTGGAGTACTGCCTCACCCGCAGCCAGGCGGTGCACTGGAGCCAGGTCAAGGGGCCCTTCTCGGCTGTCAAGATGACCTTGGCGCGGGTGGGCTGGAAGGTGCTCGAGGCTGGCGTCTGGCAGACCCACGAGGGCGACAAGGTCAACGTCTTCGAGGTGGCTCCCTGGACAGTCCGACGGCTTCTGGCGCGAGCTATTGAGGCATGGCAGTGGCGCGAGGTCGGCAAGCAGGCCGAACTTGAGCATTTGACTGGAGGTGGCGTTCTTGAGCCTCTGGTACGCCTCACCAACAAGGGGACGGTGAAGCTGCAGGGCTTGTTCGGCAAGCAGGGCGTGACGACGACTTCTGCGGCCAAGGCGGTGTCGTACCACGTGAGCGACACTCCGAGCCTTGGCATGAACGTGCTGCAGCAGGCTGTCACGCTGGTTGGTGAAGGGCGTCCCGAGCGAGAAGGGCCGCAGCCTGAGCGCCTCCCAGACGGAATTATGGCCCCTCCGATAGCTGGGTTGCCTCCAGGCTATCAGATGGGTACCGCACTCACTGCGGCAGCTCTCGTGGACGCCAGGCGTGATTCTGGCTGGTCTGAGCTGTTCAGTAGTGTGTTCGGTGAGGTGTGCCCTGACGTTGTCTTGGATGATGGTACACCCGAGTTATCCGAAGAAGAGCCACCAGCAGGAGATCGAGCTGTAGGTGCGCTCGTGGTCGGTGGCAGCCGATCTGGTGCAGTGTCCAGCGTCAAGGTTACGAAAGCCCTTCGTCTCACACCGCGCGAGTGCGGCTACCTGGAGTCCCTTATTCAAGGTGGGCAGTGGTCTCAGAGCAGGAAGTACGAGTGCGGGTACGCGGCAGACCCGTTGTGTCTCAAGTGCGGCCAGTTCGGGTCACTACTTCATCGACATTGTGAATGCGAAGGCTGGCCTCCTGAGCTGCAGTTGCCATCGCAGATCGCGGAGCTGCATGCACAGGCGGCTGAGGGTCCCACCCGTGTTCTTCTCGAGCGGTGCTTGGCGCAGTACCCGCAGCACATCGTGAAGCCGGCTCGTGACGATCGAGTTTGCTGGCTTGGGGAGAATGCACAGGGTTGGCTTCCTGCGGACACGCTGTACCTGGACGGCTCCGCCTACGAGGGGGAGTACGAGAGGTACACCTCGGTCGGCTGGGCTGTCATCGCGCTGAAGGAGAACTCCCACGAGTTCGATGTCGGGATCTCGGGGGTCCTGGACGCGCCGTTCGTCGACATCAACGGAGGTGAGCTGGCGGCCCTGCTGCATCTGCTCAAGTATGCGATGCCGCCCGCGATAGCCGTCACCGACAGCTCCTTCGTGGTCAAGGGGCTCTTGGAGTACGGGCAGCGGCGGACGACGAGCTTTGGGTTCGCCTGGGCAGACCTGTGGCAGCAGGTCTGGCGACTGCTGGACGAGTTCGGTGGCCTCGGCGAGCAGGGACTCACAGTAGTCAAGATTCCTGCCCACGTGCCCAGGAAGTACGTGCGCAGCAGGGGCCTCGACTACCGCGACTGGCTTGGCAACAAGTACGCGGACATGGCGGCCAAGAGTGCGGCCGAGTCGGCCCGCATCAAGGTCGAGGACAGGGAAGTACTCAAGCAGGTGCACGAGCGTGTCGAGGGCGTCGCGATGTGGGTAGCCGCAGTGGGCTCCAGCATGGGCGGCGAGGACACCACGCACAGGAAGGCCAAGCCGAACCGCCCAGCGCCCAAGGCCGAGAAGAGGATGATCGCTGTGCGGCTGGAGTGCGATCTTCGTGGGCCTCCTGGGAGCCAATGGTGTTCGAGGTGCAGGTGGTCTCGCAGGCAGTCTGAGTGCCCAGGGGACATCACCAGCCCAGTCCTCGAGATCAACAACCAGCTCCTGAGGAAGCATGTGCTGGTGAAGCTTTGGACGCTGAAGGAGGCGGACCTCACGAAGGATACGCCATTCATCATGTGTACGGTCTGTGGCACGGTGGCAACGTGCAGGCCGTCGACCTTCAACAAGGAGTGTGGGCACGCTGGCTCGAAGGGCAAACTTGCGCTGGCGAGGCTGGCGAAAGGCATGGCTCCCGCAGTGTCCGCGAGGGTGCCAGTGCAGGTCACTCGACTGGAGCCAGTACTATGCGAGCCTGACGCTGGTCCAGGAGAGCCTGGCGAGTTCGGCGTCGGCACGGCCTCAGCTGCGGGCGCCGCGGCTGGAGCGGGCGCTGGCCCCGCTCATCTGCCCCCCCAGAGCGCCCCTGGGATTGAGACGGGCTTGAGCGGGGCCGTGCGCCAGGCTGGCGCCGCTGCCCCAGCAGGTCCGCCCCCCGAGAGCGCCCCTCGGATCGAGACGGGGGCCTGCTGGGGCGGCATCGCGGGGCCGACCTGACCTGCGTGTTCGGCCACGAGCTGAAGGTCGGCCTCATCACGGTCGGGGGGCTTCCCAGCCTGGGGGCCCCCCGCGGACGGGCGCCCGCGGCGCGGGCGTCGGAGGGATCGCGCCCTCCACCGCGCGCTTCTCCTCCTCCTCCTCCTCCTCCTCCTCCTCCTCCTCCTCGTCCTCCCTCCTCCTCCTCCTCCTCCTCCTCCTCCTCCTCCTCCTCCACCCTCCTCCTCCCTCCTCCTTTTTCCCTCCTCCCTCCTCCTCCTCCTCCTTCTCCTCCTCCTTCTCCTCCTCCTCCTCCTCCTCCTCCTCCCTCCTCCCTCCTCCTCCTCCCCTCCTCCCCCTCCCTCCTCCCTCCTCCTCCTCCTCCTCCTTCTCCCTCCTCCTTCTCCTCCTCCTCCTCCTCCTCCTCCTCCTCCTCCTCCTCCTCCTCCTCCTCCTCCTCTGTCAGGACAGGCGCCCCAGCGGCGCGCGGCGCGCGGCCGCCCTCGCGCACCCGCGAGGCCGCCCTGGAGCAGGGCAGGTCTCCCGCCCGGGCCGCGAGGCACGCGAAACGCGACGCCCTCCGCGCCCCCTCTGGGGGGGGATGGCCTGGCTACCTCCAGAGTCGGGGATGGACAGACCCCCCTCTAGTAAAACGTGGTTTAGTGAAAACGCCCTGGGGCCCAAACCTGGCGGGCGCAATCCGGGAACATGACGGCCGCGGCGCCCTCTGGAGAACCGAAAACGGACAATTCACTAATCGACGTGTCAGGGTAGGAGGTCTGTCCGCCCCCGACAAAGGCCCGCGCGTGCCGCCCTCTGGAGGCACCGGCGCGAGGGGGCAGCCGCTTGCCGTCGTTCGGACGCCTCGTGCGTTTTTTTTTTTTTTTTTGCTCGATGGTCCAGGATGCTCCTCGATGGTTCTCGCCGAGAAACGATGCCAAGGCCGCAGCTTGCCTCCAGGATCAGCCACGACGGCCCAAGAGGGGTGCCGATGGCTTCCAAGAGGGCCCCAGTTCCGACGATGCTCCTTGATGGTCCTGGAGCCTGCTGGGAGAAGCTCGCAGAGGCCGAAATGATGGAATGCCACTGTGCTTTTCTTTTTGGCGTTCACGCCTGTGCTCCTCCCTCTCCATCGCTCGGACGTCCATTCCCTGTTTTTTTTTGTTTTTTGGTTTCGTGTGTGTTTTTTCCGCCAACTGGTCAAGGATGTTCCTCGATGGCCCTCGCCGAAAGAAAAATACACACGTCCGAGCGATGCCAAGGTGTGGATGCGAGGCGCCGGCCGTGAGACAAGCACAGCGGGGCGACGCGTCTGCAGCACTCAGCGCGTCCCCTGCCTACACCCGCCGGGGTGGAGCAGCGCTCGTGGGCATGGCGCGGGGGCTGCCCGGCCACTTGCAGATCTGGTGCTCGCGCCGTCAGTGCTCTGCTCTCCCAGGGCTCTGCAGCGTCGTCCGCACCTTGCTTCTGCCTGTCCGAGCTCCGTAGCTGCCTGCACGCCCTCCTGTGTTCAGCTGCGTTCTTGCCCTCATGGACACTGTGCGGGCGTGAGGAAAGCTTGAGAGGTCCCTTCCGATGTGTACCCATCGGTCGGAAGAAGTAGATAGAACCGTGAAGTGGAAGGCGTTGGAAAACAGATTGGGCGTCCGCCCGCCCCCTGACGAGGACGGGAACTGGGAGGCCACTCGATTCATGGTGAAGCAGGCAGGCGCCTAAAGTGGATTGGAAGCTGGGAACCCCCAAAATACCTACTTTCAACTACCGATGGTTCTAGGTACGTTGAGCCTCCCTAGAACCACTTTGAAGGACGCACTGTCCGGCGAATGACAGTCGGCCACCGTGCCAGCAGGGGACGCCCCATGGAGGAACGGAGGCGCTCCTCCGTCGGGGGCGGCAAAGAGGGGGGTGTCCAAGAGGGGGGGGTGGAAATCATGACCGGCGGCATGTGCGCGGCCCCGCGGGGGGGGCAGGGACGTAATGAAATAAGAAGAGGCGCCATGAAATCTGGGGAAATATCATGGCCCACGCCATGATATCCACCCCCCCTAGTCATCACCCCCCTCTTTTCCGCCCCCGACTCCGGCCACGGGGAGCCTCGGCCACGAGCATCCTCGAACCAGCCCTGGCACAGGCAGGTCACGACCTGGGTATCTAGCTTCCTGGTAGCATCGGCGCGCACTTGTGCATGCCATGACGTCCACGCCGGGTGTACATGATACAGTCGGACTCGATTGGACAGGACACGCGAGAGGACACAAGACCCTTCGGAGGGCCACATTGCCACAGGAACGTAGGAAGCATGGGTCGCGAGACACAGGACACGAGAGTAGCCTTGATCTGGCAGGGTCGACCTACTAGTCGGGACCGCCTGTACATGATGGCTTCCTGTGCAACGTTGCCAGACCAAACGGTGCTGAGAAAGACAAACAGCACACTGATATCCGGAGGCCCTGAAAAAAAACAACACTTGCGTATGAACTGCCTTAGCGTGCATAATGTCGGGTCACAATCAAAATATTGCAAGCCGTGTAAAACATCATTCATTTACACGGCCCCGAGGGTGAAGGGTAAGATCGGGTACCCTGCGCATAGGATTTCTTACCTCGCTGGAGACATCTGCACCTTTCCCCAGGCAGATCAGATGGGATATGGCTCCATCTTGGCATCCTGCAATTCGCGGAACTGCGACAATGCCTCCCTCCAACGCCCTGCTCTCTCACACGCGCTGATCGCTGCACAATAGCTGATCGAATCTAGCTTGAACGTCGCCTCCACCATCTGGCTCAGCAGCGACAGCGCCTGCTGCCACTGTTCACTTTTCCCACATGCGCAAATCCCAGCGGAGCAGCTGATGACACCTAGCTCCAGTTCTGCCTCCCGTAGCTCGCCGAGCAACGACAGCGCCAGCCTCCACTGCCCGCCCTTCTCGCAGGAGTCCACTGCAGTGCTGTAGCTGATCGCGTCTGGTTCGAGCCGAACTTGCACCAGCCCGCTGAACAACGACAATGCCTGCTGCCACTGTGTGCCTTGCACGCACGCGCTCACTGCAGCATTGTAGCAGATGAGTGACGGCTCTCCTGCCGCCTGCATCATCACGTGAAGCAGGGACACCGCACGCTGCCACTGCGCGCCTTTCCCACACGCGACGATCACAGCGGTGTGGCTGACAGTCATCGGCCTGACCTCAGGAACGATGAAGAAGGAACGAAGCCACACATTAGGAAAGATACACAAGACATACCGCATAGGGGAACGATACATAACGCATGCAAGCCTAAGGAACGACCGATCCCCTTTTGAAAAGTAAGTGTTCCTTATTCAAGCCGCTCACTGTATTGCATCTTGCTCGAGCTTGGCCTCTGGCAATCTGCTGAACAACGACAACGCCTGCTGCCACTGCTTACACTTTCCGCACGCGACCATGGCCACGTTGTAGAGGATTATGCCAACCTGCAAACCTTGCAGGGACGCAGTCCGTAACAACTGCAACGCCGCGCTCCATCTCTTCGTGTCTCCGCACTCACGGATGGCTGCCGTGAAACTCGATGGAGGTGCTTCCCGTGGCAAGTCCCGGACAACGCAATACTTTGCCGTCATCTCCTCTTCGGCGACGCTCCCCTGCTCACAGCAGCCTCCCCTCCCACTTCTTCAGCGGGCATGCAGGAAACGGACGGGTCCTGAAGGATCTAGGCTTAAGTCGGGCGTGTCCCCCTACAGGGGGCCCTCGACGAAACATGCAAAATACCCAGAACATGCTCCAAAATGGCCCCCCAAAAGCTCAAACAACAGTCCCCAGACTACTTTCTGACTATTTTTGAACCTTCCCCCTGTAGGCCCTGGACTCCCACTTCAATCTAGGCCCTGGACTTCCAGCGCTTCCCCAATCTGGTCTTGTCGTCTGGAATCCTTCTCTGACAACCCCTGGGGCCCTCTCTCGAGCCAGATCGATCTGCACAGTGGTCGGTGGGCCCGACTCTGGGCGCGAGGCGGCCCGACGTGAGAAGACCTTCGCTGCCCCGACACGCAACACGCAACACGTATCGTACACCCTGCGAAATGCTTGAGAAATTATGGGCTAAGAAATTCATAGTCTCAGAAATTGAATTGAAAAAAAACGCAGATTTCTACTAAAAAGTTAGGTTTTCCATTGAAGCAAGAAGAATAATCAAGACTCTGGCCGAAACCTTACGTTTTCTTGAGCATCGCCTAGGGTGTACAGTCCAAAAACCTTAATAAGGACGCGCGGTGAGGACGCAAGACCCTTGGAAGCCGAAGTTGGGATCTCTGGGGCGGCGGACGACGAAAGCCCCAAGGACGCAAGAGCAAGGAAGAGCAAGGACGCAAGGGTACCCTGAGTAAAGTCGCGCGTCCTTGTTAGGGTTTTTGACTGTAGGTCCTACGCGATGCATTCACCAAAACGTGGTCCAATGCGTGGAGCCAAAACGCAACGTATTGACATGGGCGTCTTGAACACGGGACGTGTTGCGTTTCAAAACGGGCGTATCGAGGCAACTGAGGAAAAGACTGCAGCGCCTGGATCTCAAGGAAGAAACCTCGAGGACCCGTTTCCTGACCATGGCGAGTCAGTCTCAGGTCGGGCGTGTCCCCCCTACAGTTAGACCCCGGAGGAAAACTGGACAATCATGAAACGCCCCCTGAAATGATCAAACGTAGCAGAAGACACGTCCCCAGAAGACTTTTTTCTGTTTACTATTTTTGAATATCCCTCCTGTAGATCGGGAGCGGCCAAGAGGGGGGTGTCCAAGAGGGGGGGGTGCAAATCATGACCGGCGGCATGTGCGCGGCCCAGCGGGGGGGCCAGGGACGCAATGAAATAAGAAGAGGCGCCATAAAATCTGGGGAAATATCATGGCCCCCGCCATGATATCCCCCCCCCTAGTCATCACCCCCCTCTTTGCCGCCCCCAATTCTGGGCCTCGGGTGGGCTTGGCCAGGATCGGTGAATGTGGACAGTTCTGGTCGCTCGACTGAGGGGCATCCCCGTGGGATGTGGAGGAGGAATGAGGATGAGAATGAAGAGGAGGAGGAAGAGGAGGAGGAGGAGGAGGAGGAGGAGGAGGAGGAATGAGGAGGAGAAGGAGGAGAAGGAGGAGGAGAAGGAGGAGGAGGAGTCATCACCCCCGTCTGTTCCGCCCCCGAGTGGAAGGACCTGCCCGACTTCACATCCATCGGCTCGGCCGCGCGGCAACGGGGCCAGGGGCCCGGCGAGCTCGCGCGACCGGCCCGCGAGCGGGGCCCGAGGGAGCGGGAGGGTGCCCGGGCCGCGTGTGGCGGGGGGCAGGGCTCCCTGCGAGCCCACGCGAAGAGCAGGGCAGGGGAGGAGGGGAAGGGGAGGGAGGCAAGCTAGGTGCGCTCGCGTCATATCTGACGTCCTACCCCTCCCTCCCATCCCTTACCATGGCGCTGATTTTCTCTATCCGCGGACGCGTGTCGTAGCGGACCTGTGGCTCCGCGCGCGCGTGCGTAGTGGGTGGTGGTGCACGTGCGTGCGTGCGTGCGTGCGTGTGTGCGTGGTTGTGGTGGTGGTGGTGGTGGTGGTGGTGGTGGTGGTGGTGGTGGTGGTGGTGGTGTGTGGTGGTGGTGGTGGTGGTGGTGGTGGTGGTGGTGGGCGCGGTGGTGGCGGGCGGATGGGCGCGCGAGAAAGAGGCCCGCGCTGGGGCGAGAACGCCATCCTGAACGACGGAGGCCAAACACCGATCCGAAAATGAGGCCCACGCTGCAGCGGGAGCACGATTCGGAACGATTCGGGAGCATAAATGAGGCCGGCGCCTCAGCGAGAGCAACATTTTGAAAAAAACGCAGGCGAAAACCCAACTCCAGGGAATCCTGTGTGTAAAAAACAGTACGCGGGGGGGGACTAATACTTTCAGGCCGCCATCGGGGGAAGAGGGAGAGTAGTATTCATATTGAGTAATTGTGGAGAGAAGGGGAGGAGGGGAGGGTGCGAGGGGAGGAGGGCGCGAGGGGAGGAGGGGGGCGCGAGGGGAGGAGGGGATGGGGAGGGCGCGAGGGGAGGAGGGGAGGGGAGGGAGAGGGCGAGGGGAGGAAAGGAAAGGGCAGCACATCCACCCCCGACCACAACCACCCCGCAAGCGCGCCCAGAGCAAGAATCCAGCAGGGCAGGGCTGCTCAAGAAACGCCCCGGGCCGTGTAGGAACGCCGGTTGTCCGGTCTGGGTGGTTTTTCCTCCCTTGAGGGAGGGGAGTAAGGGAAAAAAAGAGGAAGGAAAGAAGGAAGCCTGAGTGGAGGAGGATGGAAAAAGGAGGAGGGAGTGGGGGGGGTCCTCCCTTGAAGAAGGAAGAAAGCAGGCGGATGGGATACGATGGGGGAAGGGGCGGGAGAGGAGAAGGGATCGGAGCGAGGAGGGGAGCAGGCGGGGAGGGCTGGAGGAAGGGGGAGGAGAGGGCCATGATCGAGGGAGCCCTTGCCCCCCTCCCCATCCGCCCCCGTTGCGTGAGCATGGAGTGGCAGATTTTTCGAGGAGCTGCAGGGATACGTGCAAGTTTTTTCTATTATGAACATATATATACATATACGTATACACCAATGCATACACAAGTATGTGTATATGAAACATACAAACATATGAATACATATACATATATATATATATATATATTATATATTCGGATTGGTGTTTTCTGCTCTTTCTTTATCTATTATGCTTTCTCCCATCCCATATTATTTCTCTTCCTTTCGAGCTTAGCTGAGCTCGCACGGCAAACCTGCGAGTTTCTGATGCTTCTTGTTGTTACTCGCTGCGCCGCGCCCTCCGGGAGCAGACTGCCGACACTGAGCACCAGTACGATTTTTCAATGTAACAAACATCAGATCCCAAACAACTGGCCATCGCTCGGACGTCCATTCCCTGTGTTTTTGTCGGTCTCGTGCGTGTTTTTTCGCCAAATGATCAAGGATGCTCCTCGATGGTCCTCGCCGAAGGAAAAATGCACACGTCCGAGCGATGCCAAGACAATCCACGCAGGAGGAGGAGGAGGAGGAGGAGGAGGATGAGGAGGATTAGGGGGCCACATGCGAACCCTACCCCATACCCACCACGATTTTTGAGGGGGAGGGTGGGGGTCACTTTGTTCGGGAGCTCCCGAGCGAAGTGAACCCCACCCTCCCCCTCAGAAATCGTGGGGGGTAGGGGTAGGGTTCGCATGTGGCCCCCTATGCATACCAGAAGCGTCACAACATGTGATTCTGGCTGGCGCTGGAGCGGCAGCACGATGTCTGCTCAGGAGTGCGCCGAGGCGCCGAGGCGACGGCACCAAACCCAGTGATGAGCGGTGTGGCCAGCGCGAGGGCGACGGCAGCAATCCCAGACAGGGATGTAGTCAGAGCTTGGGCGAGAGCACCGTTGCCAATCACGGATGTTGCTGGCACTCGAGCGGCAACACCATACGTCCCCAGTAAAGGTTGTGGCTGGCGTTGAGACGAGAGTGCCAGTCCCAAGCAGGGCTCGGACGTCCTTTCCCCGTGCACGTTTCGGTTTCGTGCGTGTTTTGTTTTCTCGCGCCCAGCTTCTGCCACGGCCCAGCTGCCGCTGCTGGCCGCACCAGCCCACTCGACATGGAATTGTTCTGCGTCTGAGTGCCCTCCTCCTCCTCCGCGCGGCCGCCCCATCTTCCTTGTTCCCCCT